GATGTGCTTCTCTTTACTCAAACAAAGATCTCATGTTCAGCTTTGTTATTGTTTTTTAAAGAGCCAACAGATTGTGCATTAAACGATCGTTTTTGTTTTGTGCAGGTTTTTTGTGTTTCTTTCTAAGCGGTTTATTTCGCCTTTTGGACATAAAGCATTTGGTCACAAAGATCTTCATTCTGTATTCCTCGTCCCCTACGCTAGATATCTGAATGTCACTGTTTGTTGACCGAGTTTATCCCGGATTAGCACGGTAAACATTTTTGGCATTTCATGTTTGACAGAATCTACAGAACTTCTTAAGAGAAAATGTTACAAAAAATACAAAACAAAAAGAAAAAGAAACAAAACCACCCCCCCCCAAAAAAAAAGCGCCCCGATATCTCCGAGCAAACACGCTATTGATACGAGAAGAAAAGGAGGAGCAAAAACGCCTGTCTTAGATACACATGAGAAAGATAGAAGGTCTTCCTCTCGTTTGCTTTTGGTCATTTCTGAGAAAACCACAAGAATAAAACGTCGATTCCTAATACAAACATGGCGAACAATAGACGAGCAACCAGGATCATGTTCTGTAGACTGTAAGATTTGACACGTCAAAGGCTACGCAGGTTCAGGTCAAATATAATGACTTACTGAATGACTTTAACTTCTTTTCAGTTTGTGAGGAGCTCTCTTTCTTTGCTTTACAATAAAACGCAGCCTTAAACGCGGATGAGCGAAGAGAAGTCTAAATAAAACAAAGTCACGATCAGATATATAATGTTTTTACAATACAAACAGCCTTAAAAGCGAAATAGTGAAGAGAATTGAATTCTAAACAAAACAAAGTCATGATTAAATATAAACAGTTATTGTTAATTAACATGAGTACCTGGATTTTCAAGAGCATATTTGATTTAGACATATGAAGAAACAGACACGGTGGACGGCGCCAGAGGGATTGGGGCGAGACGGGCAGTTTTGAGATGGCCTATCGTCGGCAACCTTTTCAAACAATTATACTAAACCTAGAAAGTATTTTCTTAAAGGAAAAACCGTTTCATTCCTTTAAAAATTGAAACTACAGTTTATTTTATAAAATCCATCTTTCCTTGATTTTTTTCAACATTTAGAATAAAGATGTGAATTTTGACACATTATGATTTCTCAAACACATGCCACCGATACCACAGAAAAAACCCCCCCAACTGAACATTAAAAGAACCAGACTTTGGTGCATAGCACATCAAAATCTAAACAGCTGACGAACGTTAGACTATCAATCTTTGAAGTAAAAAAGGCTTCTCCCGTCCCAGAAAAACAAACAAACATACAAACAAAACCCATTATCGTAACGAGAGCCCCAGGTTCAAATTTCGAGGAGGGACAGTTTATTGGCTGATAACGTTGTGCTATTAGCATATTATAAGTATCGGACCATGTGATATAACGATCTGTCTGTCTGTCTGTCTGTCTGTCTGTCTGTCTGTCTGTCTGTCTGTCTGTCTGTCTGTCTGTCTGTCTGTCTGTCTGTCTGTCTGTCTGTCTGTCTATCGTTGGCCTGCCCCCCCCCCCTCTCTCTCTCTCTCTCTCTCTCTCTCTCTCTCTCTCTCTCGTTTCCCAAGAACATATCGACCAGAAATAATTTTCAATAAATCCAGGACAGAAAAACGCCGACCTCATAGCTCGACATACATAACATTACGAAGGCCGCGATGTTGTCACTCCGCTTCAGGAACGAGAGAGAGAAAACTATAGGAAAGAAGGGAAGTCGGAGGTGGAGTCCTTTGGGGGTGGGGGTTGGAGGGGGTGGTTGCTCGATGAGTCATTGAATCAAACCATCGCATGAACATGAAATCCACCTGCGTGTCTTTTCTATGATTCTTTCTTCGTCACATATTTCTCCCGGACACGCCCACATTTTCCCTAATACAACTATGTACAGCTGTGCCCCCCCCCCCCCGGGGGGAAGTTTATTTTTTTTTGTAGGAGCGGCCGCGGTCACTCTCTTTTCTTTTTGACTCCCCTTCTTAACTTTTTCTCTCCTTTTTTTATATCTTCCCCCCCCCTTCCCCCCTAATCTCTCTCTTTCCTTTTTAAATTTTTTCCCCCTTTCTCCCCCCTCTTTCCTTTCTTTTTTTCCTTGGGAGGTTTTTCTCCTTTAACCCCTTTCTTTCTTTTTTCCCCCTTTTCCTTCTTCTCCCTCCCAATCCCCCCCTTTTCCCCTCTCTCCCCCCCGGCCGTTGTGTTTCTCTCTTTTTTAAAAACAAAAAACTCCGGGGCGGAAAGGGTGCGGAAAGAAACCCCGGAAAAAGGGGGGGACCGGGCAAGGGCAAATATTCCAGAGAGAGGACAGGCTTTACCCCCAAAAAAAGGGTCATTTAAATACCCCCCCAACCCCACAAACAAAAAACCCCCCAATTTATTAAAAAAAAAAAAAAAAAACCCCGGAAAACCCCTAAAAAAAAATTTTAAAAAAAACATCCCCCCCTTTCCCCCCCCCCCCCCCCCCCCCCCCCCCCCAACCAACTGATTAGGTCTATAGGGCGCGAGACAATGCGATATCAGGAGTGTTTGCACAGTCGCCATTTTTAAAAAATACAGTACATTTAATATGCAGTTTTTACCGTTTTACAGGAGAGTTAAAAGAACCGTGTGTTGTTACCAATAAAGCAGCACCAAGTTTTAAAGATAATAAGGGAATTATCAAAAATTATATACTTAGAAATACTGACTTCAGATGTTTGCAAAGAGTTTCTGTTCTTGGTAACAATTATTCAGTTTCTTTTTGGGTTATTTTTTTTATTCATTTATCTTTTTGGCTCTTCCGTGAAATGGTTAAAAAAAACCCCGCTTATAACGTATTTTTGAAACTGACGACAGTACGTCTGTCTCCATCTGTCTGGCATTCATTGTTCAGAAGTTCACTCTACACCACCCTATTTTGTCTCCATTCCGCCTCCCCTGAATTGTTACACCAGGATTTTTCCACGATAGTCTTCTCCAAATCGTATCGGACTCAACAACTGACACCAACCCCTAACAAGGCTAGCAGGTGATCCAGCGTGACAGCGGACAGATCAGATTTTACAACTCCGCGGGCAATAACTACACGGGACTTCTTTCAGTACTGTCACCAGAGACATAGCAAGCAATTCTCCACACCAAACCACGCCTGTATCCAAGGGTTCTCGCAATGTCCCAGCACTAAGCCTGAACCTTCATGCTTTTGAAATGGATGAAGAAGGAATGCGCAGCAAATGTCGCTCGCTGTTTAAAACTTATATTCAAAGCTATTGAATGTCATTATCATCATCATCATCATCATCATCATCATCATCATCATCAGCATCATATTTCATACAAAATAACATAACAATATAAAATGTTTAAAATTTGTTTAGTAGCTCAACGTTTCGACTCGTGGGCTTCCTCGGGAGCAACTGAGGAACATCATCATCATCATCATATCATCATCATCATCATATCATCATCATCATCATCATCATCTAGTACCAGATCTATCACAGACATCGGCAATAATAATGGTTCTCATTTCAAGTCTTTGTTCGGATGCCCTAAAAACAAAAAGCTACAATATCCTGATCTTTCTCAGTCACCCATCTGTTTAGGATCTCCTGGTATGTTAATCTGGGTCTACTTCTGACTCGCCTGCCTTAAGTTTTGCCAGAGAGAGCTAGATATGTTTTTACCTTAGAGTAACAAAGTTCTATCTGGCATTTTGGGATGTTTTGGGTTACTAAGACCATGAGGTCGGAAACCAAATGTTCTATCTGTTCTGTCAAGATTGTAAGATTATTTGGAGTCTTTATCAAGATTCGAAAAGGTTTGAAATGATGTGAAACTCAAAATGTTAGACGTCAAATTTATCAAAACTAGGTACTGAGCAGATAGAACTTTGTAATTTTGAGGTATCAATTTATCATATTCAATGAATACTAGTTCTATTGTGCCTGCCAAGCGTAATGTCAAGTTAACCTATTGTGCATTCTAATTCTCCGATCAATACAGCAAGAAGTCTTCTTCTACTTAAATATCTCTGGACGTTACCCGCACGTCTTTCAAGAGTCACAGCGTACGCGTTGACACGACTGGAATGCGAAAGGAAATTCCTCGAATAGTATTGATTAAAAGCACACATTGTTTATTTGATGGTTTTTTTCTGAAGTAAGAGTTTTACGGCACTCGCAACACAGTTAGGTCATGTAAGTGCTAAAGATTAAAGGTGTTACAAGAGAGTAGCAGTCACAAACAGAAGAAAAATGAGAGATAAGGATAATAGATGGTTGATAGGAAAGAACAGAAGGAACAAAAAAAGAAAGAAAATTAAAACATAAAATAATAACAACAAAAGTACACCATAACACCTGCCAACCACCCACAATGTTTATTTGAATAGCTCAGATGTGAGGCGATTGACAGAGAATGGTGGTCACAATAAAGCATCGTACATGTATCAGGCACTCGAAGAATACTAGTGATAACTAGAGAAGTAAAGGGAACCTACACGCCGTGCAACACCCCTGAAAGACCTGGGGTTGCGTCGCTGGAAAGATGTTTATAATACTTCGATATATTATACAATACGTAGAGTAGAGACAAGAAAGAATGCGCTAACATGTAAACCGATACAAGCTCTCTCTCTCTCTCTCTCTCTCTCTCACACACACACACACACACACAACACACACACAAACACACACACACACACACACACACACACACGCACGCACGTATATACATGCAAACACACACACACACAAGCGCGCACATACCACAAACACATACACATTCTGAGAGATATAAACGCATAGCTAGATAACAGACAGACAGACATACAGACAGACAGACAGACAGACAGACAGACAGACAGACAGACAGACAGACAGACAGACAGACAGACAGACAGACAGAGAAAGAGACCAAGTGAACAGAGGATAGATAAACAACGACAAGACACAGCGCTTAACAAATTACAGAGAAAATTAAGAACTCACTCTCCAATGGCCCGCTGCGATAAATCCTCAAGATCTGACGAGTTGAAGAGATGCGAGTCCTTTAGGCCAAATGTGCCACGACAAGCTTTCAAAAACACATTGACGTTGTCCTGAAAGAGATGCAGAAAAGTTACGTTATGAGTATGCTTTAAAAAAAAAAGAGTTTTAGTAACTGTTTGAAAGCAGAAGCAACACAATAATGCAAGGTCATGTCACCCTCTCTGGTCATAGTATAAGAGAAGAAGGTTAGAGGTGTTACAAGACTGTAACAAACACACACAAAGGAGGGTAGACAAAAATGATAAGATTATGTTGTACAAGAAGGAAGGAGAAAACCACACCAGAGCACCTGCCAGCCACCCACGTTTGGAGTTTATAAAAGATTTACGGTAGCAGGCATTGCGTTTTGATTATAAATATTTTTGTTTTAGTAGAGGTTTTACGGCACTCGCAACTACATAAGGTCATACGAGCGGCAAGGGGTGGATGTGAACAGAGAAGTCCTTATAGGGAATCAGGCTTACTCTGCTCACCTCTCTAGCTTCAACAGCATAAAATCTGCTTCGACTATCAAGACATCCCGGAAATAGCGGGTCACAAGAGTGTGACAAACATACAAAAGAAGTAGAGGAAACAAGGACGATAGTAAGGATTAGGAAAGAAAAAGCAGCAGTTCCCTGTTGCAGTTCAGGCACAGTTATGAGCATGACATTGATAAATCAGTCCATTTATCTGTGCATAAGAACATGTTAAAATCCCCGCTGTAGGAATTGCCTAAAGACACTTCAGTCAGTAGCACCGCTCCAGGGGTGGATTATAAATAGCAAATGCAGTGAACAGGGAACAAAATTCTGGTCAGTGGGCGGTTGGCAGGCGCTGTGGTGTGGTCTGCTCCTTCTTTTTTATCAAATACATGTCGCCCTTATCAAAGCGCACTGGTTTAGTAAGATTGATTCTTGATTACAACTACAAAAACAACGAAAACAAACCACTGCAATAACGATAATGATGATGATGATGATGATA